CAGCAGAAGCAGCATCCTCCGCATCCTCTCATGACAGCCTTAGGGATAAGTGAGGAGAAGATCTACGTAGTGGAACCTATCTGAAATCACCACCTAGGTTTGGTCCTCCTTGGGGCCTGGAGGAAGGTCTCTTGAAGGATGCCAAGGACAGTGGCTTTGACCCAGTCTGTTCAATGCTAGGATCATACGGCAACCACCTTCTATACGAAACCTTCAGAGAAACCAGAACTGGAATGACCCTATGAAGGCAGGGTGAGGGAACCATGCCTCAAAATGTTTCGAGAGAAGCTAGGTGTGATGGCGCAGGCATCTCTAGTTCTCTCCCTCTGGAGGCTGAAGCATGAACATTGTGAGTTCAGTTCCAGCCTGGGCTACAAAGGGAGACCTTATCTCAAACAATAAGGGTTAGGATGAAGCTCAGTGGTAGCGTGCTGCCACAGTCCCGCAAGGCTAGCACCATACTGCTGATGGCACTCCCTGACACACAGATCCAAAAGCACTGGCAGATGGATGTGTGTTTGACCTTCACTCATTCACACTCGCTGGCTTTTTCCACCCGCCAGTGTATCAGTTGCAACAGCTGCAAGCTTGCTATTTGTGGTGCTGAGGCTGGAACCTGGGACTTCATGATTCTAGGCAACTGCTCTACCACTGAGCTACCTTCCCAGCTCCTTTCCCTTTCTATTTCATTTTACTATTTTTAAAAAAAATTTTAAATTTATTTTTATTATATGTGTATGAGTGTTTTGCTTGCATGTATGTAAGTGCACTAGTGTCATGCAATGCCTGCAGAGGCCAAAAAAGTGTTGGATCCCCTGGAACTGGAGTTATGATTGTCAGTCATTGCACGGGTGCTGAGAACCAAAGTTGGGTCCTCTACAAGGGCAGTCAGTGTTCTTAACTGCTGAGCCATCTCTCCAGCCCTGTTCCCCTTTTAAAATGTTTTTTAAATTACTTTTTATTTTATTTTATGTGTATGCATGTATTGCCTGCATGCAGGTAAGTGCACCCACATTGTGAAATGCCCGCGGAGGACAGAAGAGGCTGTCGGATCCCCTGGAACTGGAGTTACGGACAGTTGTTAGCTGCCAGGTGGGTGCTGTTCCCCTTTTTAAAAATTATTTTTGAGACACAGGATTTCACTAAGTTGCCTAGACTGGTCTTGAACTCTCTGAAAACCCAGGCACCTTTTTCTACTGTCTTATGTTCATATCTGGCACCAGACACCACAGGAAACCCAGATAAACTGAAACACTCCAGGGAGAGAGGGGATGATGACACCTTGGTGGCATCCAGGTTCTGCTGGTCTGTCACATCCAGACAGACTCTCTCCCTCAGCCCTGCTCTTCACCCGCTGGTCAAGCTACTTCGTGTTCTGCACAATCCCCCTTTCTACTCACACTCTGGATTGCAAATCACCCACATGGGAGCGCCCACTCTCCCCCTATGCACCTTGCATTTTAGGCTGTGGATTTGCAACTACAGATAGCACAACTATTTGCTTTTTCTGTTTTTTTTTTTTTGTTGTTGTTGTTCTTTATTTTATGTGTGTGAGTATATTGCTTGCATGTGTGTAAGTGTACCTGTGTCATGCAGTGCCCTCAGAAGTCAGAAGAGGGCATTAGATCCCCTGGAACTGGAATTACCGACAGTTGTTAGCTGCCATGTGGTTGCTAGGAACTGAACCTGGGTCCTCTGCAGGAGCAACCAGTGCTCTTAACCACTAAGCCATCACTCCAGCCCCTTGTGGGGCTGTTTATTTTTTCTTTCTTTCTGTCTTTGAGACAAAGTTTGAGTGTATAACCCTGGCTGGTCTCCATCTTCCTGCTTCAGCCTCCCGAGTCCTTGGACTGAAGGTGTGTAGCACCACCTCTGGTAATCACTTGCTTCTGTTCCAAACATTCATTCTCTAGCCAAAACTCCTTTTGGAATAAGACCCAAGGGGTGGGTGGAAGCTCTGTGTCCTAATGGCAGCTGGTGACCAGTAATATGAGGTTAATAGGAGCTGGGCAGGGGCAGGGGCAGATCTCTGTGAAATTGAGGCTAGCCTGGTTTACACACATGGTGAGTTCCAGGTGAGCTGGAGCTACAGGGAGATCCTGTCTCAAAAAAAAAAAAAAAAAAAAACCAAAACCAAAACCAAAAACAAAAACAAAGTAAGGTCTTACCATGTAGCTCAGCCTGGCCTTGAACTCCAGGCAATCCTCCTGCCTCGCTCCTAAGAGCTGGGATTACAGGTGTGGGCCACTGTTCCAGGCTGTACTTTCCCCTTTAATTTGCCTCGGCTTTGAGACATCATTGCCAGCATCCTCACTTATAAAACTGAAACGCGTAAGGCAGAGGGAGTGATTCTCTTTTCTACACTAGTGACTGAGCTGGGAACTGGAAGCCACACTCAGAACAGGTTCCCAGGCAGCTTCCTCCTTCTAATACATTGTGCTGTCTCAGAGCTGAGTCCTCCATCCAGTCAGGGTTCCTGGTGAGAGTATGTGTGTATGTTCACAGTGTACATGCACATCCGTGTGTGTGTGTGTGTGTGTGTGTGTGTAAAGAAGGGAGCCAAGACATAGAGGCAGAATTGGAAGGCAGTGCTGCACACAGGGCTCAAGGGTAGGCCCAGAAATAAAGGGGCAGATCAAGTCTTAGCGCAGAGAGGAGAAAGAGCAAATTACAGCATCTCATGATCAGAACACAGGAGGAAGACAGTGCTTGTCAGAAAAGCAGGGTCAGACTGGAGAGATGGCTCAGTGGTTAAGAGCACTGGCTGCTCTTGCAGAGGACCCAGGTTCAATTCTCAGTGCCCGCATGGTGGCTAACACCTGTCTGTAAGTCCAGTTTCTAGGGGAATCTGACGCCCTCTTCTGTCCTACGTGGGTATTGTATGATACGAGTACATTTACATGCATGTAGGCAATATACTCACACACATAAAATAAAAATGATAAATAAGATCTTATAAAAAAGAAAAGCAGGGTCATCCAGAAGCTGAGGGGCTCTTAGGTTTGGGGCTAGGGGCTAGTCAGGCCATGCCCCACTGCAGCAGCCTCTGTCTCACATATGCTGGGAAGAAACAGCAGGACTCCTAGGAGAGCCCAGCTATGTATCTGTAACCTTCTCACAGATGCACACTCCAGATTCCAGAAGAGCTGCTATCCTAATTCTCATTTCCCCAAGTAAGTTTGCAAGCCCAGGCCGCCAGGATTTAAGATATCAGAAGTCTACTGCTGGCACACATGCCCCCTTCCCTGCCTGTATAATACAGTTTAACTAAATGAGCCTCTACCCTCCTCTTCCCCCATACACGGGCAAGATGCCTTCCTCCTTTCCTGGCATACAAGACTCCCCTCCCTATCTTTCTGTTCCCTAGGAATCAAAGGCAGTCTGACTCCAAGTACAAACTAGAGTTCTCATCAACAACTACATGAAAGCTTCCCCTTCCTCCTAAGCCTTTAAGAATGGACCTGCCACATTCTGAACTCTGCTCAGAGCCCCTGCCACACTATCTCTGCCTATGGTATCTGCCTTTCCATGTTCTGTCTGTCTACAGCTTTAATAACTCTTCTAATACATTTCTTGCCCCAAAGGACAATCCACCTGTGTCCCCCTTCAGCCCCAAACCCATGACCTTTCAGAGACCTGTCCAAGGCTCAAGCAAGAAAAAAAATAACCTTTCTAGAGGTCAAATGGTGACAAAGAGAAGACGTAGCTAAACTCGAGGCAGAAGTGTTGGGGTTCAATGACATCTGTGTGCCCTAGAGAGGAGCTGACTATGGGTCAGAGTGGGCACCTGACAGCCTCTTTAGAGGGTAAGGCCTTGCCCAAACCTGTCCCTGTGCTGGTTGCAAACTCAAAGGGCAGGATTCTTAGTTTGGTTCTCTGACCAGCAGCACTGACTCACTTGAAGGGGTGTCATAAATGCAAATTCTTGGGCCCAGTCTCAGAACCACTGTTAGAGACTATCCTCCCCTAGGTCGCCCCCCAGTACACAGGTGGGGCCTCTAAGGAAGTAGTTACAGTTAAATAAGGTCACAAGAGTGATGATCCATTAGGATTAGTGTCTTCCTAAGAGGAGACACCAGAGACCTTGTTGGCTTCCCATGAGCATGCTCAGAGGGAAGGCCATGAGGACTGAGAGGCTGTCTGTAAGCCAGGACTGGAGCCTTGAACAGAAACCAGCCCCTGGTGGAACCCTGACCTGGGACTTTCCAGTCTCCTGAATGGTACAAAATCCCACCTGTGGCATTTTGTTATAGTGGCCCTGGCTGACTAAGCTACCCACTGAACAGGGAACCCCCAGGGTGGAGCTCAAATAAGTGTGTTTGTAAGCTCTCCTTGCGATTTAGACACTATCTCAGTCTTGAGAAGTGCTGTTCTAGCTATGAGCTGAGACTGGTCTTAAAACACCCATGCTTCATAACTGGAGAAGGTTTAGGACTCTTAAAGGTACGATAGTTCTTCCAAAGATATGGGACCCTGCTTGAGATATCTCCTACCCACAACTATGCAATGGCCTCCTGTGTCCTCATTCTTCAGATACACCCTGCAGTACTCATGCAAAACCTCAGATAAGAGACAACTTCTCCCTGCCTCAGTTTTCTAACTATAAAAATAGACAGCATATCTCACTGGCTCACTGTGAAAATTGAGTGCGCTCCTACACATTTCTCCCAAAGACATCTTACAGGACTAGGCAGAGGGTCTGCCTCCGAAAACCACACGGCTCTTACAAACACAGCACCACGCACTTGCCTCATTCATCTCACTGAGTGTTTTCAGTGATATGCAAATTAACCAATAGTCTGACATATGCAACAATATCATTTTTTTTCTGTTGGAAATGGAAAGTGGTCTCCACCCCGACTTGGAGTCGGGGTATTGAAGAACTAAGGGGATCCTCACAGGGTTTACCCAGATGAGCACCAGCCCCATGATCGGCTACAGCAACCATGAAATAACTGCTGCCCCAGCAAAGGCAGCAAAGCAGGCACCGCCACACTTACTTCCAGGACCGTCCATTGTTCGACAACAATAGCATCGTAGCCCTGTATGGTTTTGCTATCTTCTGTGGAAACAGCTTCAAAGATGAATACTCCATCTGTCAGGCCATGGAAGGAATCTGTAGAAAAAGTGAAAAACAAGGGGGTGGGGGCGTGTAAGCCGTCTGTGGCAGCAGCCTTACAAAACAGCAAAAATTTTCACTGCATTCATTAATAATCCCAATCAGAACATCTTTTCAACATGTTAATTAAAGAAGGCACACACAGCCATAGAGTCTAGCCCCATCAGAATGAATGAGACTAATTTACCTCGCAGTTTTGAATAATATCCTTGATTTTATGAGCCCAAATTTCATTGTCGGCAATCACCATCTGATTTCACGTGCTTACCTTCCTGTTCAAGCTCCACCGTCAGGATGCACTGGGGAGAACTTATCCAGGGCGAAACACGGCTGTTTAGAGGCAGTTTTTAGAGGAAAACTATATTTAGGTGAGAGGGTTTTTTTTTTTTTTTTTTGTTTTTTAAATGCAGGATAGATTCACCTCACCAGATCTGAACTTGTCAGGTGCACACAAGATGTGTTGGCTCTTTGAGGGGGTTGTGTGATGTGGTTGTTTCATGGAGGGTGCTTCTGGCTGCTCTTGTCAAGAGGCAGGATTTGGGGCCGAGGACTTCCCAACTGATTTGCCAATGACAGTGTTTCCTGGGGCATCATTCTAGTCAGGGTCCTGAGTGCTGTATAGTGCAATAACTGTGCTTGAAACAGACAGTTGTTTGAGAGTGTCTTAAGTGATGGAGGTCTAAGGAAGCACAGAGCATGGCCTCTGTCGAGCAGAGCCTCTGCCCCACAGAGCATGTGTCTTCTACCTTCACTTGGTTCATCATTCCTGTGTGTCTTAGATTCACTGAGGTAAGATTGTGAGAAAGAGGACTGATCTAGATGCTGGTGGCCTGGATCCAGGCAAGGGTTCCTTTTGGTGACTTGGTTGCCCATCTGTGACACTAGGTGTGGAAAGATCATCCCTTTCCGCCCCTAGAGTCTGCTCTGCTAAGATTGTTCTATCTCAGTGAACTGCTGAGGCCCTAACCCCTGGCTCAGTGAGGGATGAGGGGGAGCCACATCTGTGTAAGAAGAGGAAGCAGCCCCAGGTGCTTTCTTGCTCCCCCACCCCCACGTGTGTACAGCAAGGCAGCAGACAGCTAGCTGTGAGCACAGCAGGAAGAGAGCTTGAACCCCAAACAGTCTGCTGGCATGTGGGTCATGGGTTAGATACTAGTTTTTTAGGAGTGGGAGAAAATAAATGTGTGGTTACTGTTTAGGCCATCCAGACTGGCATTGTGTTACAACAGTCTCAGGAGACTAAAACACTTATAAAGCCTATCTCAATGTTATTTTATTTTTGAACATTTTATTTATTATTTTTATTTTATGTGTGTGTATTGTCTACATGTATATAAGTGCACCTGTGTCATGCAATGCCCATGGAGGATAGAAGAGGCCGTCGGATCCCCTGGAACTGGAGTTATGGACAGTTGTTAACTGTCATGTGGGTGCTGGGATTTGAACCCGGGTCTTCTGCAAGAACAGTCAGTGTTCTTAACTGCTGAACTATCTCTCCAGCTCCAACACTTACTATTTTAAAAGGACAGTTTGTACTAGGACAAATCATAATAATGTTAATTTTCTTTTTCACAGAGAAGGTAGGAAGACCAAATCAATCCCCTAAATGATTCTGGCATTCCTGTAAGTGCCACTATTTTTCAGAAATCACAAAGAAAAAGACTCACAAATGTCTATATGTAGCAATCTTTCTATCTTCCCCCACAAACAAAATTAGAAGATTATCAACAGGGGAAAGTTATTCAAAGTGACACAAAGAAAAGACCAAGCTTGATATTCTTCGCACATAGAAACTTTATAATAGCTGAAAACCTAAAATACTAATAAAAATGAGCAGAGAACACGAACTAGAAATTAGTTCTCCATGGCTAGTAAGTTTGAAAGAAGTTCAAATTTGTTTATTAGAATGGTAGATTTTTGAAAAGGAAAATGTCAATGCCTATAGAGTTAAGTCTGAAGTGTCACCAAGAGAAAGTCTATCCTTTTTGACTCCCAAATCCTTTCTTTTAGTCTGTCCTAAAGTAACAACCACTAATGTGATCCCGTATTTATTATAAGAATTACTTATAAAATTACTTAAAAACCCAAACAAGAGCCAAGGAAATGAGCAAGCCTGTGGACCTAAGTTCAGATCCCCAGAATCAACCTAAAAGCTGGGCGGTGCTGTGTTTGTAATCCAAGCCACGGAGGGGCAGAGACAGTTGGCTCCTGGGGACTTGCTAGCTGGTCAGCCTAGTCAAAATGACAAGCTCCGGGTTCTGTGAAAGACCCTAGCTCAAAAATTATGGTGGAGAACAATACAAGAAAACCTGCTATCAACCTCACACGGTGAACACACTTGTTCACACATGCATATACCACCCCATACACAGAGATGCATAACACACACCACACACACACACACACACACACACACACACACACACACCCCTAAATGACCTAAATATTCAACCATAGAAAAATAGTTAAGTGAATTAGATTTCCATACAACTAAAAGCTATACTATCCTAAGAAGCATATGGAAATTTCACCAGGGAATACTTCAGAAGCCATATTGTAGAGAGAGGAAAAAAACCTTCAAACATAAAACTGTCATATGAGCTAGCTGCAATTTTTTTTTTAATTGTGTGTGTGTGTGTGTGTGTGTGTGTGTGTGTGTATCTGCCAGAAGAATGTGTTGGGTCCCTTGGAGCTGGATTTCAGGCCCTGGTGACTGCCTGAAGTGGATGCTGGGGTTCCAACTCTGGTCCTCATGATAGAGCAGCAAGAGCTCCTAACCACTGAGCCATCTCTCCAGCTTAAGCTCCAATTTATTTTATTTTATTTTCAAAATATTTTATTTATTATTTTCATTTTATTTTTATATGTATGCATGTATTGCCTGCATGTATGTAAGTGCACCCATGTCATGCAATGCCTGTGAGGCCAGAAGAGACCGTCAGATCCCCTGGAACTGGAGTTATGGACAGTTGTTAGTTGCCATGTGGGTGCTGGGATTTGAACCCAGGTCTTCTGCAAGTACAACCAGCATTCCCAACTGCTGAGCTATCTCTCCAGCCCCTTATTTTATTTTTTGGTCTTTCTGAGGCAGGGTCTCCCTGTAGCCCCAGCTGGCCTGGAACTGTAGGTTAGGCTGACTTCACAGAGATCCTCTTGTCTCTGCCTCCTAAGTGTTGGAATTAAAGGTGTGTGCTACTACACTCAGCCCAAGCTCCAATTTTTTCATGTTAGAAAGGTTTAGATAAATAAACCTTGAGGAAATATACAAGATACTAGAAGTGGTTATGAGTGGTGTAATTAAGAATAACTAAAATGTTTTCTAAAATCCTCTTCTGTAAGATTAATGCAAGAGTTAATACAGTAGTAACAGGCAAACAGGTAACAGACGAAAAGTAATTTCCTTTTCTCTCTCCTATGTGGCTCTTGAAGTTCAGTTTTAGAACTGCAGTGACACAACCCAGTAGACTGAACTTTTCTGAGTAGTGACTAGAAATGGAGGATTAGCCTCACAGTGGGGGAGTGGAAACACCCACACTCACCCTGAAGGGCCTACCCCACCCTGGCCCATTCATTCTGATACCTGCTGAGCACCAATATGGGCCAGGTACTCCTTGGTCACTGGAGGTCTTGTCAGCAGCAAGACGAAGACCCTACTACCATGGAGCTTTCTTTTCAGTGGGGAGGGAGACAGAAACACAACACCAGAGGTGATAAATCACATAGAAACATGAAGCAGGCTAAAAGAAGTGAAGGTGGAGGCCATGTGGAGTCTCTTTCTGAAAGGGGTCCTGAGACTAAGGCTCCCCAGTTTGAGACAAGACATTATGATGGTTAGTTCTGCTGACACAATCCAGAATCACCTGGGATCCAAGTCTCAATGAGGGGTTGTCCAGATCAGGTTACTCTTTGGGCATGTCAGTAGAGGGTTATCTTGATTACCTTTACTGCGATGAGAAGACCTGCCCACTGTGAGTGGCATCATTCCCTGGGCAGGGGGCCCTGAACTGTTAAGAGTGGAGAACATGAGCTGAGCTCAAGCATGCGTGGATTAATTCACTGCTCTCTGCTCTCAACCGTGGATGTACTATGAGTACGTGTTTCAAGTTCCTGTTGCTTTTTTCAGGGTATTTGATCACAGGAATAGGAAAAGAAATGCAGACAGACATGAGTGTACTAAGCAGGCAAGGGTTTGAGTTCCTGACAGTTTCGGGGACAGGCTAGGTGCAAATGCAGAGTAAGTGGGACAGGGATAAACTACTAGATGAGCTGTAAAATTCTTAGACGAGGGGGCTGGAGAGATGGTTCAGCGGTTAAGAGCACTGACTGCTCTTGCAGAGGACCTGGATTCGATTCCCAGCACCCACATGGTGGCTACGAACCATCCTTGACTCCAGTTCCAGGGGAATCCGAAGCCCTCTTCTGACCTCCACGGCACTGCATGACACGGGTGTACTCACATACATGCAGGCAGTATACTCATCCACATAAAAAAAAAAAAAATTCTTAGAAGAGACTTAGGATTCAGGTGACTGGTGGGGAAAGGGCCGGCAAGGGACTTTCCCACATGGCATGCTTAGCTAATAGGATATGGCAGGTGAGATGCAGAGTCTAAAAATCACGCATGGGGTTGAACTCGATGTCCTGTGTCTCTGCCACCATTTTGAGAGGACATACCCCAGTTAGCCAGCTGGATCTAGGAAGACGAAAGACACATGGAGCAGAGCTGTCCTAGTGGAGATGGCTGGGACCAGCTGACCAACAGACCTGTGATAAGCTTAGTGGAGATCACTGAGGCTGCCAACAGTGCTCCAAACAACCAGAAAACCTGATGGAGTAAATTATTACTCTTAAGCCAATGAGAACTAGAGTGGTTTGTTACATGGCACTACTACAGCAATAGCTGACTGAGACAATGCTCAACCTAGAGGAAGGGATACAAGACCAGTGTGCTTTGCTGAGCCTGGGGTTAGCCCTTGTCCTGAATGAGAAAGAAATTG